TATGTAGGGGACTACTATAGGGCGTATTAAGGGGGATACTAGGAGTTTAGACAATGGACCATATGCTGATAGCTGCAAAGCTGGATTCAACAGGAATAGCTGGAAGCATCATCACCGGAGTTGCATCAGCTCAAGCATTATCTTGCGGATGCTTAAAGGGAGAGTGGCGGAATGAATATAGATATTCTTAGAGGGAAGCCTATATGGGTGGTTGTCAAAATTATATTCCCTTTTTGGGTACCCTAAATATTAGGGGCCGTATAATAATAGGGACCCAAAAAGGGACCATAATTTTGACAACCACTCATATGGTTATGATTGGGATCCACTCCCTCACCTAAACCCTAAGCCCCAAAGCCCAGTCAGTTATCCTCAGGTCGCATGTCTGCAGCGAACCAGCCCTGTGCCTTTATGCCACAAGCCCCCAGTCCTGCGCTTAAGCCCAGGACCCTAAGCCCTACCCTCTATAACGCTATCTAAGCCCAGAACGCTTATATAGCCTTAGATATTCCCTATAGTATCACTATATGATCTCTATATAGCTCCCACATAATCCGTATGTAATCCGATGTTGTAATCCCTATCTCACCCTGAACAGGAAACCCAAAGCCTGAACATCCCTGCAACGCTGCAGGTGGATTGTGAAAGGCTCCTGGGCCTCCATGCTCCTGGAGCAGGTTTAGTGAAGGAATCCTTACTGGTTCAGGATTTAGGGTTTTAGGGTTTAGGGTGAAGGGTCTATGTTTTTACGGTTTTAGGGTTCAGGATTTAGGATATAGGGTTTAGGGATGAAGGAACCCTTCATAAGTGAGGGACCCATAATGACGACTCCCTAATAAAACCTCCCCAAGGCCTCTTAAAAGGGGGGGACCACATATTGTTTGGATAAGAATCTAGGGTTTAGGGGTTAGTGTTTAGGGGTTTAGGGGTTTAGGGGTTTAGGATGGTTTAGGGTTTGGGGTTCGGGATTTGAGTTTCGGATCTTGACTAGTCTGTGCGGTCGAGGCTCTGGGGTTTAGGCTTTGGGGTATAGCGTTTTCGGATTCTATGAGGCAAAGTAGTTTCATATGTTGGTTTCTCAAAGTTGTCGGTATTTGCACAGAATAAGGGATCCTCTTAGGAAGTTCGCCGTTCTACCCTCTTGTATCTAAGGGTCGCACAGCCCCGAAACCGCAAAGGCTATGCGATGCTATGCGGCATGATGCGGGCCTATCGGTCTCCCAAATCCTAGTCGACAGTTCCCTAAACCGTAAACTGCCCGGAGCCTCCAAGTAGACCCTCAGTCCTACTTTCAGGGACCCTGAAGTTAGGTTAAGTATATAATGCATATATATATATGTATGTATAATTTTCCCTTTAGAAGCCAGTAGAACCCCGGCGGTGTCGTCCTTTAGAAGTAGGTTACCTAACACATCATAGTAATCCCAGGGTCCTACAGTGCCTCAACCCTAAATCGCATCCGACCCATTCAGGTTCTATGGCATCTTGCTGGTTGGCCTTTCGGTGACCACGATTCTGGGTAGCGGTCAGGGAACATATCTTAAGTTACCAGAATAGGGATACTCTATATGGTACAATACTAGGGCTTCCTAACTTTGGCAATTCAGTTCAAGTTGCTTAACAGCAGCCCAACCCTAAACCCTAAACCCTAAACCTTAAACCCTAAACCCTAAACAGGATTTGCCACATCAACTTCGGCATCGGCTTTGGTTTCGGCATTGATGGGCTGGTAGCCTTCGCCATGTGTGCTGCCCAGGCAGGGAGTGATCCATATCCAGTGATTTGCTCGTGAGCCAGTACCTAAACCAAGTACGGAAGTAGCCTTTATTGCCAACAATTTTTCGGTATGTAGGGGGTACTTGGGAGGCTTAGGCAGAGTTTCAGTGTTTGAGGTCCAGTGCTTCAAATTGTTAGCCTTGAGCCTGCGCTTTCCTGGGTCGGTAACCTCCAAATAACTAGGTTCGGGTTGAGGGTTTAGGGTTAAGGCTCCCAGGTTTAGGGGTTAAGGCTTAGGGTTTAGGGTTAAGGGTTAAGGGTTTAGGGTTTATCGCTTAGGGTTTAGGGTTTAGGGGTAAGGAATGAAGGATTTGAGGAGTTATATAGGGACCATCCCTAGAGGAAGCTAGTAAATAATGAAGCTAGGGCTAGGCAAGTTTCGCATTCTTCTACCGCAGTCACGCCGTGTTCATCAGCCTTGGTAGAGTGGTTGAGGGGCTGCTTTTGGCAGGGTGGTGGCTGGGACCATCATTATTATTATTGCTACTGGTATTAGTATTGTTAGTATTATTATTAGTAGTACTAGTACCCTTACTATTATTATTATTACTACTACTACTATTATTATTATTATTGTTATTATTATTTGAATTTCACTCTGGAGGCCTGCTCAGGCCTCAAACCCTAACGTGCTTTCTATTCTGGTTTATGTGAGCAGGACTAAGATTCCTCAATCAAATCCCTGCGTGTGTTTCTCTAAAGTTAAACGCCCTATATAATCCCCATGCGGAACTCTTAAATCCCCATATAAGCAGGCAAGATCACCATTGCTCTTGCAGGGGTACCCAGAATTCAGAAACCTCCATCCAGACACATGGCCAGGTTGTCATCAGCTCGAGTGCCTGCATGGTGCAGAAGCATCTTTCAACGCCTTCCAGGGTAGTGGTGGAGTGGTGGGTTTTGGCCTTCGCCCTTGCCAAGGCAAGGTGTTAGGGTTCAGGGTTTCGGGTTAAGGGTGTAGAGGTAGTGCACCAAGCCTTTAGCAAAGAGCAGCCAACTTTAGCACCGTGTTCTAGTTATGTGATATAGTCCCCCTTAAGTAGATAGAATATGGGTTTGGGTATGTCCTAATAAGATCCCCATATACCCCATATTCTATCTACTTAAGGGGGACTGTAGCTATAACGTCCTAGTCTTGGTGTTGGGATTACCAAGTGCCTCTTATGAAAAACAGCCAGAACTTCCAAGTTGATAGCCCTGAACAATCCCAGAATATAAGCACTATCTAACTCCCATATAGCCCGTATATAGCACTATATGGGTGGTTGTCAAAATTATGGTCCCTTTTTGGGTCCCCCAAATTCGGCCCTGTATTAGGCCCCGTATTATATTAGGGACCCAAAAAGGGACCATAATTTTGACAATCCCCCATATAGCCTTGTAAATCCTAGAATATCGTTGCAGTTCCAGCTCTGGGGCTCAGCACTTAGAGTGACTCCAGCTCCCTTTATGATTGGAACGTATCCTTAGGGTCTCTAGGGGCACTTTCCCCCCTAAACCCTAAACCTTGGGTACTGCCCCCCCTCAGTGACAGTTGGATAATATTTATAATATGGTTATATCTAGCCCTCAATAGGACCCCTAATATAGACTGTTACTGGGTGGGGGCGGTACCCAACCTAAACCCTAAACTCGAAACCCAAAATCCTAAACCCTAAACCATAGAAGTACCCTAGGCTCAAGATTTGTTGCCTGGAGGTCGGGATGGCTATCGGCGACCTGATTCTGGCGGTGATGTACATTACGGAAACCCTAGGCGGGGTGTTGGTGTAGGGGCTACTTAGGGTTTATTGTTTAGGGCTTCCCAAGTACTTTTATGAATAGTCTCTCCATCAAGAAAACGCTTTTTACTGATGCAATTGGGGTATTCGGGAGGTTTAGGCAAGCGAGGCTTGAGGAGTTTAGCGCGGTTTTTGGCTTCGGCGGCTATGAGCCAGGGTCTCTAGATTTTATTTCGGGTCCCGTAGTCCCCATACATATATATATATATGTATAGATAGATAGGTAGATAGATAGATCGAGAGATATATCTCTATATATTCCCTTGTTACCTACTACTCCCCAGTAAGTCTATGAGTCAAGGTGAGTAGTATTTTATTTGGGGATACTATGGTACCCAATATAGAGTAAGATTATATCCTCCTTTTGGGGTATAGTGTTTTATATAAGGAACATAATCTTACTAGGTTCAACCACCACACAAAAACCACTACTCAATAATATAACCCCAGGTATAACCCCCAATATATACCCTAAACCCTAAACCCTAAACTCTAAACTCAGGTGGCTTCGTGCGGGAGAATGCCAGCTTTTGCAGTGCAGGCTACCTCTTCTGCTGGATGCTCCTGGGTTGTTGTTTAGGCTTAGGGTTTAGGGTTTAGGGCACTGAGATGAGTCTGCAAGTAAGTTGCATAATTGGATTCCACTGACAGGCGTTATATATAGATTTTTTTTTATCTATTTCGATTTTGGTGGGGGGTGGGGGTGGGATTGTGCGCACTGTTTTCTGCCAAGCTCCTCCCCCTCCCACCTGATATCCGCCCCCAGCCCCAACCACAGTGTAGTGGGGGCTTAGTTATCTCTCTCGCTCCTCATAAAACGTTCACCTAATTTGATAATCATTACAAAGCTACATATATACATATATATATATATATTCTACCATCTTTAAATGTCTGTATTAATCTCTATACGTCCTGGTTCAACAGATTCGCATGGTAGGTCTGTTATCCCTAAGATCCAGGCCCAGCCACACCGCACCATCCGGTGGGGTGGGGGGTGGAAGTGCCGGGGCACAGGGAAGGGCCCGCCAGCAATCAAGCAATTTATAGGGTTTAGGGTATAGAGTTTAGGGGTCAAATGGAGAGTTCTGGAGCCTAAACGAAATCTTGCGCTACCAAAATACAGATACATATGAAGAATTAAGTACCGTGGTTCGTTGATGCAGTAATTTGAAGCACGATCCTCAATTCCCTATCAATCCCGAGCTTCTCTTTAATTTTCCAGAACCCTAAACCCTAAACAGGGCAGTAGTTTCCGCTTTCTGTTTCACTCCCTGTAACCCCTTCTCTAAACGGGAACGCGTTATTGTAACTTGAACATTGCTAGCCTAAACCCTGCAACCTATACTCTAAACCCACCCCCCAAAACCTTTAACCCGAAGTGCCAATCCTTAATCCTCAGGCCTGAGCCTTAATTTAACTCCATTAACAGCAACCTCGTTTTGCGACTTCTCTTTGCATTTTCGGTCTTAACTCTCTCTATTTAGCGTATACTAAGGTATAGCATCCCTAAACCCAAAAAAGCTTAAACCTAAAGAACCAGGCTCATGGTGTCCATGGTCTGCCAAAGTGTGGCGGGCATGGCGATCGCGAGGTTCATTTTTGAAACTTGGGGTTTAGGGTTTAAGGAATATGTTTTGGGGTTAAGGATTAGGTGTCATGGTTTGGGGCTTAAGGATTAGGATTTATGGTTCAGCATTCAGGATTTTACGGTTTAAAGCTCAGGGTTTAGGCTTTTAGGGTTACTCGGGACCTCTTCAGTGCAGCCTAAACCTCAAACTCTAAATACCAAACTTGGGGTTGTGGAGGCTTACTAAGACATATAATCACAGAGGTCTGCGAAGCCCTATAAGCTCCACAGACACGGAGGATGCACTAAATCTTGCACCGCCTCATAAGCCCTAGACAATAGTAGTTACAATGCCTAGAGGATCCTCAGTGTAGCAGGATTCGCTCATCCACCGTAGACCTAAACCCTACACCCTAAAGCCTAAAGCCTCAGCTATGCGCAGGATCCACACGCGAGCAGCCCAACACATGGGTGGCATACAGAACCTCGCCAAGCTCCTGTCCTTAAGTAGATAGAATATGGGGTATATTATTGGAGTTATATAGGGGTAATGGAAAAGAAAATGGAAACTACTATAATGGGTTAGTTATATAGTGTTGGTTTAAACTTTGTGGGGGTATACAAGGTTCAGCAGGGTTTGTATAGGGCTCGGGGTTTAGGTTTTAGGGTGGGTATCAGGGTATACAGGAATTTCGGGCCAGTAATGGAGAATCCGATGGAAAAGGCAATGAAAAAACAAGTGGATTTCTATAGGGTTGTATGGTTTCGACATCATGCCGAGCATATCGGGCTTTCTGGGGCTTATCTAGGGTTTGCCATTCAGGATTGATAGGGTTTAGGGTTATGGGTTATCTACCCTCTTTTCCAAATCTTTGGCCTTCCCTTCATCGGGGTAATACCCCTAAAGCCTATACACATCTTGAATAGCCTTATATAACCCTCTATATATTCATATATCCTTCCGAATATTGGTAGAATCCCCTCATGGCCAAGATATTCTCCTCTACTTTCAACCCTATATCCTCAACCCCCCACCCCAAACCCTAAACCCTAAACCCAAGCCCTAAACCCTAAACCCTAAACCCTAAACCCTAAACCCTAAACCCTAAACCCAATCCCAGAGTCAGGCTCATCGGCTGTTCAGGCCTACTTCTGGCCGTGGCGACTTTCGGTGCTGGCTTGGGGCTTCCTGGTTATGCGCTTTAGGGTTTAGGGTTTAGGGCTTAGGGTTTAGGGTTCAGGGTTTAGGGGTCGGGGTTGAGGGTGTAGGGTTCAGGGTTTAGGGTTCAGGGTTGAGGGTTTAGGGTTCAGGGTTTAGGGTTTAGGGCTCAGGGCTTAGGGTTCAGGGTTTAGGGGTCGGGTT